AGCAGCTGGGATTACAGGCATGTGCCACCATGCCCAGCTAATTTGTGTATTTTTAGTAGAGACAGTGTTTCACGGTGTTGGCCCAGCTGGTCTCGAACTCCTGACCTTGTGATCCGCCTGCCTCGGTCTCCCAAAGGGCTGGGATTACAAGCGTGAGCCACTGCGCCTGGCCAAGCCTGGCAATATCTTAAACGAGATGTCACCACGCCTTATTTGACCACCTACATATACCTGGATTCCAGATCCCATTACCATTGCCTAAATTTAGCCCTTCATCTCTTACCACTTGAATTATTGCACGAACTTGTTTCCTTACCTCCAAATCCACCTGCAAAATATTATTCATGCTATGGTATTTCTGAAATGTATTTTACCATACGGTGTTATGGGAAAGAGATTTGGTGGCGATATATGACGCTTTTTACTAGTAGGAATAGACATTCAACACTTAATTGCGGTCAATGTTTAAATGAAACCCACAGGTCTAAAAAACACAATTGGCCGGGTGCAGTGGCTCACGCCTGAATCCCAGCACTTTGGGAGGCCGAGGCGGACGGATCACCCGAAGTCAGAAGTTCGAGATCAGCCTGGCCAACATGGTGAAACCCCATCTCTACTAAAAATATAAAAATTAGCTGGGCGTGGTGGCACATGCCTGTATTCCCAGCTACTGGAGAGGCTGAGGCAGGAGAATCACTTGAACCCGGGATGCAGAGGTTGCAGTGTGTCAAAATCGTGCCATTGCATTCCAGCCTCAGTGACAGAGCGAGACTGTCTCAAAAAAAAAAAAAAAAAAAACAAAAAAACAAACACAATTTGTCCCTTGGTATATTCGGGAGGAGTGGTTTAATGACCACTCCACCACAACTTGAAGTTTAATAATAATAAATAAATTAAAAAAAAAAAAGGTAGCAAATCTGCACGTTGTGCACATGTACCCTACAACTTGAAGTTTAATAATAATAAATAAATTTAAAAAAAAAAGAAAAAAAAAAAATGACCACTCCACCACCAAGCATACCAAAATCAGAGCCTACTTAAGTCCTAAAGTTGGCCGTGCAGAACCCTCCGTATTCATGGGTTTGGCATTTTACAAATACAGTATTTTTGACCTGCATTTGGTTGGAAAAAATCCACCTAAAAGGGGTCAAACCCATATTGTTCAAAGTTCAAGTGCACAAAGATGACAGAACGTAGGGATTAGAATAAGCCTTTACAAAATCCTTAGAATTCAGTGTTAAAATTCTCCATCCTACTGCCACCCTAGAACTCCATTTCAGTTGTCCTCTTATTTGCACAGGCTGCTAGATTCGACCAGGAAGTCTTACTCCGTATTCGCAACTACTTAGACCCTTAGTTACCAATTTATTTAATCACTCTCTATCAAAGCAACTAGATGTTAAGTTTTTCACAAAGTGCCAGCCTCCTCCCTACATAGCCTGTATCTTTTCCTATTTGGTACAATGCTGGGTGATCCACAAATAAAAAATTGTACTTTTTAAAAAAATTTCTCAAAAGAATTCCCGCTAAACAGGAGAAATTTCAATTAGCCTAGAACTAAAATGGGGGACACAACCCTCATGCTACTGTAGCAATCACCCTCAACCTGCCCTCCCTGGAAATAGCTAAGTTTAGGAAACTATAGCACCAATATCACGACCTATCAATATGGACAAAAAATATGCTATACCCATTCATCTAAACTTAAAAAATTTCACTTACAATCCTTTTTTTTTTGAGGGGGTTTTGCCATGTTGGCCAGGCATGAGCCACCATGCCCAGCCCAGAACATTTTTTTTTGTTTTTGTTTTTGAGCCAGTCTTGTTCTACCACCCAGGCTGGAGTGCAGCGGCACCTCCCAAAGTGCTCTGATTACAGAATTGAGCCACCGTGCCCGCCCCAGAAAATGTTAACAGAAGCTTTGAATTAGAGATGAGGTACAACGCACAAGGTTTGGTACCTAAGAAATAAGGACTGATGAGAACCTGTCCAAGTGTTTGAACACAAAATATATTTTTTAAATTATAGCCAGGTGACACCTTAATACTGGCACTTGCGGAGGCCAAGGCAGGCCTATCACTTGAACTTAGGAGTACGATAGCAGCTTGGGAAACATGGAGACCCGTCTCTACAAAATACGTAAGTCCACCAGGTGTGGTGCTTGAGATGTGACTGCACCACTGCACTCCAGCCTGGGGAAGCTGGAGTGCAATGGCACAATCTGGGCTGACTGCAACCTCTGCCTCCTGGGTTCAAGCGATTCTCCTGCCTCAGCCTCCTAAGTAGCTGGGACTACAGGCGCATGACACCACACCCGGCTAATTTTTTTTGTATTATTGGTAGAGAAAGGGTTTCATGATGTTGGCTAGGCTGGTTTTGAACTCCTGACCTTAGGTGATCCTCCTGCCTCAGCCTCCCAAAGTGCTGGGATTACAGGCGTGAGCCACCATGCCCCCAGCCTTTTTTTTTTTTTTGGAGAAACTTCTGTCTACAAAAAAGTTCGTGGTGCAATCTTGGCTCACTGCCTCCCCAATGGCCCGGGTTCCATTGATCCTCCCACCTCAGCTTCCAGAGTAGGTGGGATTACAGGAATGCGCCATCACACCCAGCTAATTTTTTTGTGAAAATAGGGATTCACAGGCTGGGCGTGGTGGCTTATGCCTATAATCCCAGCACTTTGGGAGGCCGAGGCAGGCGCGAGTTTGAGACCAGCCTAGCCAACATGGTGAAAACCCAGCTCTACCAAACATAAAAAAAAAATTAGCTGGGCATCGTCGTGTGCACCTGTAATCCCAGCTAGTCAGGAGGCTGAGGCAGGATAATTGATTGAACCTGGGAGACGGAGATTGCACGGAGCTGAGAGTGCACCATTGCACTCCAGCCTGGGCGACAGGGGAGACTCCGTCTCCCAAAAAAAAAAAATAAATAAAAATAAAAATAAATTGGGGTTTCACCTTGCCCAGGCTGGTCTGAAGCAATCCACCTGCCTGTCTCCCAGAGTGCTGCTATTACAGGCAGGTGGGAGCTACCGTGCCTGGCCTGTATAATGGCATAGTTTCAAGGCTGGGCGGTAAGCCAACGAATCATTCATTTCCAACGAATCATTCATTTCCAAAAGTGACGTATGAATTTTTTCAAGAAAATCAAAGAAGTTTTTAAAATGTTTTCCCCACTGAAGTTAAGAACTACATATCGTAATCCACTATGCATATCTATTATCACACTTCCTATCAAGTTTTTGTCTCGTTTGTTCCCCCAGCCTAGCTTGTGAGCTCTCTCAGCTCAGCAATCATCTGAAATATTAATCTTTGTATCACCAGCACTTTAACTGCCTGCAATACAGGTCCTGAATATCCGATGTAAAAAAGTGCTGAAATACATAGTGTTTCTATGTTATGACAACTACAGAAGCTGTGAGGGAATGAAAACTTCCAAAATGCAGAAGTTCAAAGATTTAGAGGAGGACAACATATTTAGTTTTATTTCAATCAAATCACAACACTTTCTTTTCCAACTGCTGCAAAGTGCATCTACAATATTCTATTACAGATCCACTTTTAAAAGGTTTCCTGTGACATTACAGCAAGCCTCTTTTTTCAAACAGAGGAATAATCCCAAATTCTTCCTCAAATAAAAATAACTCCATTCCAGTAAATGGTAAATACATAAAAATTACAGTAAGCCAGACACTTAAAAGGACAGCCAAGAAGTCTTCCAACAGTTTATTAGAAAGAATGTAGACATTTAAAAAAATCCCCACTGTCATGAACATAAATTGAGGTTTTCAGCCCTGGTATAAGCTGAATCAAAAAAAGAAATAAAAAATCCAATAGTGTATTAAACATTTTTCACTCATTTGTCATACTTGACAGTGCAAATACAAATCTGGTCTAAATGTACAGACTCTCAAGCAACAATGTACAGCTTTCTTCGTCCTCCATGCTAAGAGATGTAAAAGCTTAAGGGTCAAACAATACCAAATGTATAGGCTTCAAAAACCATCTAAGTTAGGGCATTCTCTAGTTTTAGCTAAGATACACCTGGAACACTGACAAGTGATCACTTACATAGAATAATGTGAAGTAAATTTTTTGAAAAATTTTAGTGGAACAATCCTGAAGGAACACCAGGAAAACAGCAGGTTACCAGTAAGGTGTCAGCCAATTTGTTCTAGCCACTTTTGAATCCATGTTCTATAATCTAAAATTTAGTTATCTTTCCCTAAGCTGAGAGCTTCCTATCATGTCAGTATCTATGTTATGAAGAAAAGGAGACTTAGGTGAGATGTTTCTATTTATCACAACAGCTGCATCAATTGCTTAGGACCTCAACAGCTTCATGAAAGTCTGGGAAATGTTCATGCATAAGGTTATTGCCTTAGCTGACTTAAAATTGCCCCATACAATGGTACATATCAACCCTTAGTGAAGCCTTTTAAAAAACAAACAGGTTGAAAAATGGGTTAAAGTAGGCAAATACAGCATCTGCCTTTAGAGCTATCAACTCAGGAATTCTCTCAATTATGAAATCTTGCAGAGAAGTTATTTTTCTTTCTCAAAATCCAAGTGATGACAACACTCCTTACTCCAGATCTGGCATTTCTGAAAGAATTATAAAAAATATTAGTATAAAGTACAAGGGAATAATCTACCAATTTTAATATCTTAAAGGAAAAGCAACCAAAAGTTGAATTATATAGTTCCCCAGTAAATTAATAGGTTGTCTTGCTATCTCAAGTTATTCACATTTCTGTTTTATTTATTCAAGGTCATAAAGAAAAAAATTACTTTTTTTCAAAAGAAGTTAACATCTCTATTTTGAGTTTGGTTTTTGATGCAAAATATCACTGTGTAAACATACTTTTTACATACACTTACTTTCATCATCACTGTCTTGTGAATCCTGAAAGAGGGAAAATAAAGTTACCAAACTGATCAAATATTTGTTTGCTAACAGTTTACCTTAAAAAATTCAAGCGCTATTATTTTTGACTAAAGTAGCACAGGTAGGTAGTTATACCAAGCCTAGAAATTTAGTCATTGGACTTGAGACTAGATTTAACCTAAGGTGAATGGATGTACAGCAGAGGATCTATCTACCTGTAAAAAATGGTGTGCGCCTTTCGGTGACAGTTTAGCCCACCCTTTGAATCCATTCCTAAATTAACCTACGTCAGCATTCAAGAGAAAACATGGATCAATAATGAAGAAAAATAGATTGACAGAAGACAGTGAACTCTAATCCTAGCTGTTGAGTGAATATTATGCATTTTTCTAAATAGCATTAAATAACTTTCTGGGAGATGTTAACAGGATGCTGGGGTTGACAAGATGTTGAGAATAGTTGTTTATTATATCCTCATCCTCCTCTTACAGATTTACAATGTCCATCTGTTTTGGGTTTTTTTTGTTTTTTTTTGGAGATGGAGTCTTGCTTTGTCGCCCAGGCTAGAGTGCAGTGGCGAGATCTTGGCTCACTGCAACCTCCGCCTCCCGGGTTCAAGCGATTCTCCTGCCTCAGCCTCCCAAGTAGCTGGGATTACAGGCACTTGCCCCGCCACCGTGCCCAGCTAATTTTTGTATTTTTAGTAGAGACAGGGTTTCACTATCTTGGCCAGGCTGGCCTCAAACTCTGATCCACCCGTCTCCGCCTCCCAATATCCATCTGTTTCATTGGTCTCTGACCAATCCTGACATAAAACCTATTTAATTTACTTTCTTAGTCAAAATAATCCCTATAAACTTTTTTTTTTTTTTCCTTGAGACAGAGCCTTGCTTTGCTGACCAGGCTAGAGTGCAATGGTGTGATCCTGGCTCACTGCAACCTCCGTCTCCCTCGTTCAAGCGATTCTCCCACCTCAGCCTCCCCAGTAGCTGGGATTACAGGCACCTGCCATCATGCCTGGCTAATTTTTGTAGAGACAGGGCTTCACCATGTTGACCAGGCTGGTCTCGAACTCCTGACCTCAGGTAATCCACCCACCTTGGCCTGCTGGGATTACAGACGTGAGCCACCTCGACCGGACTGAACCGACTGTTGTAACTGAGTAAGGTATTACTACATAATGTCTCTATACAATGATTCTTTAGAAATGTGATCCATTTAGGAATGGTCTACAGCAAAACCAGTTCCCTAATAGATACCCATTCCTCAAAAATGGGCACATTTTAAAAATTGCTTTTCCCTTTATTTTTTTTTTTAGAAAAGTAGTAGTAATCCTGAATCTATATAAAACCATTTGTAAATATGTTGTTTACTATTTAATAGTATGAAAGTAAACAGAAAAAAAACTTTTAGACTTACATCATCTGCTCCATCTACTTCTGGTAAATCTACATCCTCATCACCACCCATGTTGTTCATCATCTATTTGAAGTGTAAAAATTAGTTTTAAAAATGATGTTAAGTTAGGCCCTAATTATTAATGCGTATGCTTCAGAATAAACCTTAGGTCTGCCACGGATATCCACAAATGAAAAATGCAAAATAAATGTAAGCATCTTCCCTTCTGGAAAAGGAAGATTATAAGCAATTACACAAAATTCTAAACACCTATACGAAAATTAAAACTAAATTTTCCCTAAAGAAAAGCAAAGCTATTCATGCAGCAAGGTATCAATGTATGACAGACATTAAAAATGCTACTTGAATAGTGGTTATCTCTGGTGGTTAAGGAAAAGAATGGGATTGATTTGTAAATGCACAGCTATCTATCTTAAGGTTTTTTTTTTTTTTTTTGAGACAGAGCCTAGCTCTGTCGTCCAAGCTGGAGTGTGGTGGTGTGATCTCAGCTCACTGCAAGCTCCGCCTCCGGGTTCACTCAATTCTCATGCCCCAGCCTCCTGGGTAGCTGGGATTACAGGCGCACACCACCATACCCAACTAATTTTTTGTGTTTTGGTAGACACGGTGGTTTCACCACGTTGCCCAGGCGGGTCTTGAATTCCTGGGCTCTAGTGATCCACCCGCCTCAGCATCCCAAAGTGCTGGGATTACAGGAATGAGGCACCATGCCCAGCCTTTTTTATTTTGAGATGGGGTCTTGCTCTGTTGCCCAGGATTAAGTGCAGCAGCACAATCATCAGACGATGAGAAACTTATTTTCTCAAGTTTAAACCATTTCTGTAATGTTTATATTTTAGAAAAATAAAATCACATATGCATGGAAAAAAATCAGACTTCAAAAATACATGATCACTCAGATTTTAGAATTGGAAGGGACCTTTTTTCTTTTCTTGAGATGGAGTATCACTCAGTCACCCAAGCTGGAGTGCAGTGGCGTGATCTCGGCTCACTGCAAGCTCTGCCTCCCGGGTTCACGCCATTCTCCTGCCTCAGCCTTCCCAGTAGCTGGGATTACAGGTACCTGCCACCACACCCGACTAATTTTTTTGTATATTTAGTAGTAGATAGAGTTTCACTGTGTTAGCCAGGATGGTCTTCATCTCCTGACCTGGTGATCCACCCGCCTCGGCCTCCCAAACTGCTGGGATTACAGGTGTGAGCCACCGCACCCACCCTGGAAGGAACCTTAAAAAGATTAGTCAAACATACAACGGAATGTGTTCATCCTAAAAGTAGGGATTATTCAGCCTTAAAGAAAAAAATCTGCCTTATGTGACAAAACACAATGAAGAATCTGAAGCATGTCATGTGAAGTCAGTCAGTCAGGGACAAATACAGCATGATTCCACTTATATAAGATACCTAAGATTATATGAGGTATCTAAGATAGACACACAAAAAGAGAGAGAATGGTAGCTGCCAGGAGTTGGAGGGAAGGTAAAATGCAGACTTGCTACTGTTAAATAGGTATGAAGTTCCAATTACACAAAATACATAGTTCCAGAGACCTACTGTACAGCATTATGCCTATAGTTAACAATACTGTATCATGCACATAAAAGTCTGTTAAAAGATATCTGGGCATGGTCAGGTTCCGTGGCTCATGCCTGTAATCTCAGCACTTTGGGAGGCCAAGGCGGGTAGATCACTTGAGGTCAGGAGTTCGAGGCTAGCCTGGCCAACATGGTGAAACCCTGTCTCCACTAAAAATATAAAAATTAGCCGGGCGTGGTGATGGGAGCCTGTAATCCCAGCTACTTGGGACGCTGAGGCAGGAGAATTGCTTGAACCTAGGAGGTGGAGGCTGGAGTGAACTGAGATCGTGCCATTGCACTCCATCCCAGGCAACAAGAGTGCAACTCCGCCTCAAAAAAAAAAAAAAAAAAAAAAAAAAAAAGCCAGGCGAGGTGGCTCACTCCTGTAATCTCAGCACTTTGGGAGGCCAAGGCGGGTGGATCATGAGGTCAGGAGATTGAGACCACGGCGAAACCCCGTCTCTACTAAAAATACAGAAAATTAACCGGGCGCGGTGGCAGGCGCCTGTAGTCCCAGCTACTCGGGAGGCTGAGGCAGGAGAATGGCATGAACCCAGGAGGTAGAGCTTGCAGTGAGCTGAGACCACGCCACTGCACTCCAGCCTGTGCGACAGAGTAAGACTCCATCTCAACAAATAGTCTGTTAAAGAGAGTAGATTTCATGTGAAGTGCTCTTACCTCAATTAATTAAACACACACAAAAGGATTCAGTATAAAAATTTTGGGCAAATCCATCTTGAATGAAATGAATAACTGGGAAAGAGTTTCCCTACCTTGAAAAGCACTACTGAATACTTTTAAGTTTCTTTGGGCGGAAAAATGCTAAATGTACCAAGTGCAATGCTACTGTGTTTAAGATAAACAGCAAGAGAAAACTGAACATATTCAAGAGATATTCAGGAGGTAACAAAAACTGGACAACAAAGATAGCAAACAAAAACAAAAACAAAACAGTGTTACAAGGCTGGGGGCAGTGGCTCAGGCCTGTAATCCCAGCACTTTGGGAAGCTGAGGCAGGAGGATCACTTGAGATCAGGAGTTCAAGACCTGCCTAAGCAACACAATGGCTTGCACAACTAGGTAAACTGTGGCACCAACTGCTACACGTAAGGTACAATTTAAAAATACTAATAATATGAATAGAACATCTTCCCTTCCTGTTGAAATCACCGTGCCAGAGTCATGTGCGGAGAATTGTTAAATAAGCAGTTGCATACGTAAAGCTAGACACTTAGCTGTTTTTATTTAACTCTTAAGGTCTCAAAATACAAAATCTAGTTAATGAAAAATTTCAAATAGCAACAAGAAATGGATTTCATGAGTAAGCATTCAATTTACACACTAATGTTCTTTCTGTAGTTTTATTCTATTACATTTGATAAAGTCTATTCTGCCTACATAGAGATGAATCATTCATTCTTCAGTCATGGCAACATGTTATTTGGGTGACATCTCAGATAAAGACTTTCTTAAACTTTTTTCCTTGTATACCTCATGTTAAACATTTCACCATGATTTTTTTTTTTTTTTTTTTTTTTTTTGAGAGAGTCTTGCTCTGTCGCCCAGGCTGGAGTGCAGTGGTGTGATCTCAGCTCGCTGCAACCTCTACCTCCTGGGTTCAAGCAATTCTCCTGCCTTAGCCTCCGGAGGAGCTGGGATTACAGGGGTGCACTACCACGCCCAGCTATTTTTTGGTAATTTTAATTATTTATTAATTTAGAGACAGTGTTTTGTTCCTGTTGCCCAGGCTAGAGTGCAATGTCGATCTCAGCTCACTGCAACCTCCACCTCCTGGGTTCAAGTGATTCTCCTGCCTCGGCCTCCCTAGTAGCTGCAATTACAGGCATGCACCACTATGCCTGGCTAATTTTGTATTTTTAGTAGAGACAGGGTTTCTCCATGTTGGTCAGGCTGGTCTCGAACTCCCAACCTTAGGTGATCCGCCTGCCTCACCCTCCCAAAATGCTGGGATTACAGGTGTGAGTCACACGCCCAGCCCTATTTATTTTTTTTGAGATGGAATCTTGCTCTGTCGCCCAGGCTGGAGTGCAGTGGAGCGATCACGGCTTACTGCAACCTCCACCTCCTGGGTTCACACGGTTCTCCTGCCTCAGCCTTCTGAGTAGCTGGCATTACAGGCACACGCCACCACACCCAGCTAATTTTTGTATTTTTAGTAGAGGGGAGGTTTCGCCATGTTGGTCAGGCTGGTCTGGAACTCCTCACCTCATGATTCGCCCGTCTCGGCTTCCCAAAGTGCTGGGATTACAGGCATGAGCCACCGCACCCAGCCTATGATTCTTGTGTTTAGAAGTTTATAGTCATATTTTTTAGACCAAGTCCCGCTCTTTCGCCAGACTGGAGTCCAGTGGCACGATCTCAGTTCACTGCAACCTCTGCCTCCAGGGTTTAAGCAATTCTCATGCCTCAGCCTCAGGAGTAGGTGGGACCACAGAGACACGCCACCACGCCCAGCTTATTTTTTTTGTATTTTAGTAGAGACAGGGTTTCACCATGTTGGCCAGTATGGTCTGGATCTCCTGACCTCGTGATGTGCCAGCCTTGGCCTCCCAAAGTGCTGGCCTCCTCCCAAAGCACCTGGTCAAAAGTTTATAGTTTTACTTTATGGCTTGAAAATCCAAGTCAACTACTGCAATCATGTTTAAAAAAAAAAAAAAAATCCCAATGATGAAATTAGGAAATTAGCAAACTAGCTGTGTTAGTCTTAATACATTAACTTTCGTAGCTAACACTGATTCCTTTTAAAATCATTAAAATGGTCTTAAAAATAACACGCATCATGAATATGTGCCCAAAACCAAATTAAATTGATTACATAGGTACTGTGTACTTCAAGGGGGGAAGACGTCCATTTAACAGAACTTACCTCAGAGAAACGATCAAAATTAGACATGTCTTCATCTGAATCATCTTCCCAGTCTTTCCAATTATTGAAGTCGACACTAAGCCAATTAAGCTATAAATCAATACAAACATCACCCTAAGGTTAGATTAATTTGCATTTGGCATGAACCTTAAGACTGCATTTTCTTTTCTTCTAAAGAGACCAAGTCTTGCTGTGTTGTCCAGGCTGGAGTGCAGCAAGCATTCACAGGTGCAATCCTACTATTGATCAATGTGAGTTTTGATCAGCTTCATTTCTGATCAAGGGTCTTGTTTACCCTCTTCAAGCAACCTGGTGGTCCCCACTTCCTGGGACACCACCATACTGATGTTAACTTAGCATGACTACCTGACTGACATATGGCATTGCAACCCAGAATTGGGCGCAAGTAATTCTCCCACTTCACCCTCCAGCGTTGCTTTTAACTACAACAGGCACACGGCTACTGGTCCCTGGCAAAACAACATTTTTTGAACTGCGACTTTCTATTTTTATGAGGGCATTTAATTAGCACACAAAGAATAGACTAAGCTAAATGGGGTGGCTTACACCTGTAACCCCAACACTTTGGGCGGCCACGGTGGAAAGACTGGTTGTGTAATCCTTCAGGAGTTCGAGACAGCCTGAGCAATAGTGTATCCTGTATCTGGGGAAAAAACAAAAAAACAAAATTCCTGGGCGTGGTGGCACATTCCTATAATCCTAGCTATTTGGGGAGCTGAGGTGGGTGGGAGGATCGCTTAAGCCCAGGTGGAGGCTGCAGTGAGCCATGTTCACACCACTGCACTCTCGCATGAGTGGCATGAGACTATCTTAAAAAAAAAAAAAAAAAAATTAGGCCAGTGTGGTGGCTCATGCCTACAGTACCAGCACTTTGGGAAGCTGAGGTGGGGAGATCGCTTGAGCCTAGAAGTTCAAGACCAATCTGAGCAAGATTGTGATACCCCTTCTCTACAAAAAATACAAAAATGAGGCAGGTGTCATGGCATGCCCCTGCAGTCCCAGCTACTTGGGGGACAGAGCGGGGAGGTTCACTTGGAGCCTGGGAAGCTGAGGCTGCAGTGAGCCGAGATCGTGTCACTGCACTCCAGCCTGGGTGACAAAGAGAGACCCTGGTTTTGAAAAAAACACACTGAAAATTGTTAAACATACCTTTTGAAAACAAATTTACTAGTAAGAACTATTTTCAGTTGATTAGTTTACTTTTTCACCAAGCTTTGTCCTCTCCCATTTGATAGCTGAGTAATTTATGCAAAGTCTATCTCTTAAGTGCAAAAGATTCTACACCAGTTAATAACTTGATATTCTCATCACACTCCTTATTAAGTTAAAACTGAGTAGACAAAAAACATGAACATGAGGCTTTATACTTAGCTGTGAAACAAAACCACAGCAGTATATTCCTTACATCAAGTAAGTGTATCTTTTATTACCTACAATAAAAATATCAAACTTTTCAAAAAAGGAAAACGAAACCTACCTTTGCCCTTTCTTTTGTTAACCTTGGCCATGACTGGCCAGATTCTCCTTTTCGTAAACAACATAAAATTGATCTGTCCGTTCTTTTATGCTTGGAATCCTAAAAACAAAAGGACCATCATACCATTTATCTTTCCAGTATCACTACATGACAGAAAGTAGCTTGTCATTTCTCACCTTTTTCATTTCTTTACCTAAATTTTCTCTGGACTCTGAAAGAAACATGCCCTTGACTACTAAAAACTTCCAATTATCCAATTGCCCCAAACCACTATAACTGTCATTTTTAAAAAATTTTATTTTTTCCCTTGTATTTCCTACTGAAATAAGCTGTACTACAACGTTTCACGTTTAACCTGATACCATTTTTTTCTTTCCTGCACATGGTAAACAGAATAAAACCTTAAAAACTTTAACTAAAAATGATATAGCCACAGAATGGTTTAAATATTCTATTCTTGGGCCAGTGCGGTGGCTCAAGCCTGTAATCCCAGCACTTTGGGAGGCCGAGACGGGCGGATCACGAGGTCAGGAGATCGAGACCATCCTGGCTAACACGGTGAAACCCCGTCTCTACTAAAAAATACAAAAAAACTAGCCGGGCGAGGTGGCGGGCGCCTGTAGTCCCAGCTACTCGGAAGGCTGAGGCAGGAGAATGGCATAAACCCAGGAAGCGGAGCTTGCAGTGAGCTGAGATCTGGCCACTGCACTCCAGCCTGGGCAACAGAGTGAGACTCCTTCTCAAAAAACAACAAACAAACAAAACAAACAAAAAAAGACAAGACAAGCCTCAAGGATACTTCTCTAAGCCCAAACAGTGATAGCAAAAACAAAAAGTATGCAGAAACCAATTTTGGAGGAAATATTCTACAAAATGTAAATATACCTAGTCTGCCTCACTGTTAAGAAAAACAGAGCTAATGCTTATTGCTAAAAAGAATACTTGGTATGTCTGTTTCCTCACAACTTAAATCTGGATTAAAGCATCAAGACTACTTACATTTGGATCAATACAGTGAAAAAGATCAATTTCATTTAAATGCTTAAAATTATCACTTCCTCCGAGACAACTGTATAAAATAATAAAGAAAGAATTAAGCCTCTTCAAAGAGACAAAGATTAATAATATCTTCAACGAAAAGACACGCCAAGTTATTCAGTTGTGTGAATAACTATTTTACATCACTGGATAAAAAGCTTAACTTACCTGAATGTAAGTTTGGATTTTTCAAAATTTACATTAACATCCTTACTGTCTTCAACACAAAATTCAATGAAGACATAGTCCCTTCGATCGTACCACTTTGCAGAAGCAGGCTGCCTACAAAAGGATAAAGTAGGGAAAGTCAAACTGGAATTCATTAATTAAACATTTACATACTAACCTTCGACACCATTATAGCATTATTTCAGGGCAGTTCATTACAATTTTAAACAAAAACTACATTTTTACCCTAACAGCTACATTCCAAGTTAAAACCTAAGGGTCTAACAAGATTTAGTTTCAGAATGATTCCAATTTCATAGTAGGAAGGATTCAAAAACCAAACAATGCTTAGTAGTGTTAGCCATTTATCTAGTCCTATCAAAAATTATGTTACTTGGCTGGGTGCAGTGGCTCACACCTGTAATCCCAGCACTTTGGGAGGCCAAGGCAGGTGGATCACTTGAGGCCAGGAGAGCTAGAGACCAGCCTGGCCAGCATAGCAAAACCCCAACTCTACTAAAAATACAAAATAAATAAATAAATAAAATTAGCTGGGCATAGTGATGTGGCCTGTAGTCCCAGATACTTGAGGGTTGGGACTGAGGCACAAGAGTAACTTGAATCCGGGAGGTGGAGGTTGCAGTGAGCTGAGATCATGCCACTGCATTCCCAACTGGGCAACAAAGACTCTTGTCTCAAAACAACGACAACAAAAACTGGTACATCAGAGCTTTACTTTTTAAGTTCACTAAAACCAGGAGAATGAATCTCCTTTCCTCAAATTAAGCAATCTAGAAATTTATCAGTTTCCTCAAAATTAATACATTGAAGTCCTAACCTCCAGTACACCTTAAGAATGTGATTATATTTGGAAATAGCATTTTTAAATTACAATTAAGTAAATATGAGGTCTTAGGATAGACCCTAATCCAATGACTGTTGTCCTTCTATATGAAGAGATTAACACAGAGGGAAGAAAGCTATCTGCAAACCAAGGAAACAAGGAAAGGCCTGCTGACACCTTCGCCTTGGATTTTCAGCTTCCTGGAAATGTGAGGAAATAAATTTCTGCTGTTTAAGCCACCCAGTGTGTGATACTTTCTTATAAAAGCTTTAGCAGGCTGGGCGCAGCCTTAGCAGGCTGAGGTCGAGAATTCAAGACCAGCCTGACCAACATGGAGAAACCCCGTCTCTACTAAAATCATAAAAAAGTAGCCAGGCGTGGCGGTGTGCGCCTTAAGTCGCAGCTACTTGGGAGGCTGAGGCAGGAGAAAGGCGTGAACCCGGGAGGCAGAGCTTGCAGGGAGCCGAAATCGAACCACTGCACTACAGCCTGGGTGGCAGAGCGAGACTCCACCTCAAAAAAAAAAAAAAAAAAATTAGCCGGGTGTGGTGGTGCATGCCTGTAATCTCAGTTTAAGAGGCTGAGTCAGGAGAATCGCTTGAACCTGGGAAGTGGAGGTTTCAGTGAGCTAAGATCGTGCCATTGCACTCCAGCCTGGTCAACAAGAGTGAAATTCTGTCTCAAAAAAAAAAAAAAAAAGAAAAAGAGTGGGGGGGGGGGGGCCGGGGGGGGCCCGCAGGGTGGCTCACGTCTGTAATCCCAGCACTTTCGGAGGCAGAGGCAGGTGGATCACGAGGTCAGGAGTTCAAGACTAGCCTGGCCAATATGGTGAAACCCCGTCTCTACTAAAAATACGAAAATTAGCCGGGTGTGGTCGCATGCGCCTGTAGTCCCAGCTATTTGGGAGGCTGAGGCAGGCCAATCAGCTGAAGTCGGGAGGTGGAGGTTGCAGTGAGCCAAGATCACACCACTGCACTCCAGTCTGGGTGACAGAGCGAGACTCTGTCTCAAAAAGGAAAAAAGCCTTAGCAAGCTTATAATCACGTCCCAGATAATAAAACAAATTTAAATTATCAAAACCTGTGGTTAGGCCCTGAGCCAAAAATGATTCCTACATTTTTAAAATATTAAAAAACAAAACAAAACAAAAAAAACAAACCCGGGAGGCAGAGATTGCAATGAGCCAAGATTACACCACTGCACTCCAGCCTAGGCAACAGAGTGAGACCCAAAAAAAAAAAGAAGAAGAGGAAGAATGTGAATGAGAGAGGTATTTGTGGCCTGCAAAGCCTAATATTTACTGGCTGACCCTTTATACAAGTTGGCTAACACATTAAAACTACAAACAGGGTCGAGTGCGGTGGCTCACGTCTGTAATCCCCAGCACTCTGGGAGGCCAAGGTGGGTCGATCACCTAAGGTCAGGAGTTCGAGACCAGCCTGGCAAACACGATGAAACCCTATCTCTACTAAAAATACAAAAACTTAGCTGGGCATGGTGGCGGGCGCCTGTAATCCCAGTTACTCGGGAGGCTGAGGCAGGAGAAAGGCGTGAACCCAGGAGGCGGAGTTTGCAGTGAGCTGAGATCACGCCACTGCATTCCAGCCTGGACAATAAGAGTGAAACTCCGTCTCAAAACAAAACACAAAACTGCAGACCAGGCGCAGTGACTCACGGCCGTAATCCCAGCACTTTGTGAGGCCAAGGCTGGTGGATCACCTGACGTTGGGAGTTTGAGACCTGCTTGACCAATATGGAGAAACCCCATCTCTACTAAAAACACAAAATGAGCCAGGCGAGGTGGCGCATGCCTGTAATACCAGCTATTCGGGAGCGGAGATAGGAGAATCACTTGAACCTGGGAGGCGGAGGTTGCGGCGAGCCGAGATCAAGCCATTGCACTCTAGTCTGGACAATAAGAGCAAAAACTGTGTCCAAAAAAAACCCCCCCAAAACAAAAACAAAAAACAAAGCCAACTACAAATGGGGGGCCGGGCATGGTGACTCACACCTGTAATCCCAGCACTTTGGGAGGTCGGGGTGGATGCATTACCTGAGTTCAAGAGTTTGAGACCAGCCTGGGCAACATGGCAAGACCCCATCTCTACAAAAAATAACGTGGGTGTGGTAGCATGTATCTGTGGTTCCAGCTACCATGGAGACTGAGGTGGGAGGATCACCTGAGCCTGTGAAGTCAAGGCTGTGTAAGCTGAGATCACGCCACAGCACTCCAGCCTGAATGACAGAGCAAGAACTGGTCTCAAAAAAAAACAAACCCACGAAAACAAAAAACAAACAAAAAACCCCCAAAAACTACAAGTGGGTGGAGGGTGCCCTACACTTATCCTGAATCAGGAATAAACACATACATATTCCCTCATTTGAAAGGAGAACTGTGCCAGGCATGGTGGCTCACGCCTGTAATCCCAGCACTTTGGGAGGCCGAAGCTGGAGGATCACCTGAGGTCAGAAGTTCGAGACCAGCCTGACCAACACAGTGAAACCCCACCTCTACTTAAAAGAAAAAAAGAAAAAAAAAATTGCTAGGCCTGATGGCACATGCCTGTAATCCCAACTACCTGGGAGGCTAAGGCAAGATAATCGCTTGAACCTGGGAAGCAGGTGTTGCAGTAAGGCGAGATCATGCCATTGCAATCCAGCCAGGGCAGCAAGAGTGAAACTCCGTCAAGAGAGAAAGACAGACAAGAACGGAAGGAAGGAAGGAAGGGAGGGATGGAGGGATGGAGGGATGGAGGAAGGGAGGAAGGAAGGAAGGAAGGAAGGAAGGAAGGGAGGGAGGGAGGGAGAAGGGACGAAGGGGGGGAAGAGGGAGAAGTGGGGGGAAGGGGGAGGAAGTGGGGGGAAGGGGGGAAGAGGGAGGAAGGAAGAATGGGTTGGTTGCAGTGACTCACACCTATAATCCCAACACTTTGGGAGACTGAGGTGGGCAGGTTGCTTGAGGCCAAGTTTCTGACCAGCCTGGCCAATATGGCAAAACCCCATCTCTACTAAAAATGTAAAAACATTAGGCAGGTGTGTTGGCACATGCCTGTAGTCTCACCTACTCCTTGTGAGGCTGAGGCAGGAAGATCACCTGAACCTAGGAAATGAAGATTGCAGTGAGCTATGATGGCGCCACTGCACTCCGGCCTGGGCAACAGGGCAAGACTTTCTCAAAAATAAATAAATAAATAAGCAAACAAACAAAACAAAAATGGAAAGTCAACGTTTATGAAGTCTCCTTTGGCCTTACACCATCTCTTTTTCTCCTATTAACAAATGGAGCCGGGCGCGGTGGCTCAAGCCTGTAATCCCAGCACTTTGGGAGGCCGAGACGGGCGGATCACGAGGTCAGGAGATCAAGACCATCCTGGCTAACACGGTGAAACCCCGTCTCTACTAAAAAATACAAAAAAATAGCCGGGCGAAGTGGCGGGCGCCTGTAGTCCCAGCTACTTGGGAGGCTGAGGCAGGAGAATGGCGTGAACCTGGGAGGCGGAGCTTGCAGTGAGCCGAGATCCCGCCACTGCACTCCCGCCCGGGCGACAGAGTGAGACTCCATCTCAAAACAAAACAAAACAAAAAAAACAAAAAAAAACAAATGGAGAGGGCTGGGCGTGGTGGACCACGCCTGTAATCCCAGCACTTTGGGAGGCCAAGGCGGGTGGATCACCTGAGGTCAGGAGTTCAACAGCAGCCTTGCCAACATGGTGAAACCTCATCTCTACTAAAAATACAAATATTAGCCAGGCATGGTGGTGGGCGCCTGTAATCCCAGCTACTCGGGAGGCTAAGGCAGAAGAATCGCTTTAACCCGGGAGGCGGCGGTTGCGGTGAGCCGAGATCACACCACCATTCTCCAGCCTGGGTGACAGAGACTCCGTCTAAACAAACAAACCCAAAACATATGGTGAAGGGGTTGAGTTGAGCTTTAACTCTAGCTTCTAAACTAATTATACTGCATTTATCTCTAGCCTTTCTGCTAACACTGGCTAAACTCATAACCACTGTGGAAGACTGTTAATTCATCTTAATAGTAATATACCTACAGATGCAAAATTTCCACCTCTGCATACATTATGTAAATAATCTACTACTTAAAGCAAAACAATAAACCCCACAGGTGGACATTAATGCTTTTTTTTGAGGCTGTCTCGCACTGTTGCCTAGGGTGGGGTGCAGCAGTGGCACATCTCAGCTCACTGCAGCCTCCGCCTTCTGGGTTCAAGCAATTCTTATGCCTCAGCCTTCCTCAGTTTTCTGTTAATTC